TGTGTGTGTGTGTGTGTGTGTGTGTGTGTGTGTGTGTGTGTGTGTGTATGTGTATGCCGCGCGTGCGTTCGTGTGTGTGTAGGGACAATCAATACAGAAAACCTAATGTAACCTATGTGTATACTTCTGCATATACATGCCCAAGTAGTGGAGATAATTATAATGAGCGAAAAACAATGACGAATACAAAATCCTATTGTCGGCATATTTAAGAAAGAACTCAACGATTAAAATCTTATTGATCTTTATTTTTCTTTGTTGCAGATCATACATGAATTGATAGTTATAAGGAGTCTGATGGCACAGCAATGAGGTCGATAAATTTGATTTGGCTATGTTCCCTCCTGTTGTTGAGCTTCAAATGGGCCAACGCTACAGACTTGTGTAAGTATTGAAATATTTCAACGTGATATTTATTTATTTCCAACCGTACTCCGGTATGCCAGGATAACATTAGCGAAAGAATCTTGTTAGTGCACGTTTATAAATGCGTGCTATGCGAGAATGAACATTTACTGACTACATTTTAATGTCGCATTAAAAGACCAAGAAAAAAAAAATCAATGAATATTTAAACGACTGAAATGTAAAATTATTTTCCTTTCCAATAAACATTTTATTAGTGATTGTTATATCTGAGTGATTCGACCAGTACAGTGTGGAATATTCAATCCATTAGTTAATAACATTTTGGGTATAGCTGGGAGAGTGGTAGGCATAGTAATATATTAATGGCAACAGCCACGTCATTTAATTGCAACTTACTGTATAGGTTAATCGTAAATACCAGAAAACAAAAATAATGTTCCACCTTGTTGAATGTATCCGTACATTACTGTGACACATTTTTAATTTAATAGGGTTACGGCTACATGTAAATGTATTTAATTATCTCTCTTTCTCTCTTTCGTGTATAACGTAAATGGTTTAAATTCAAAAAGTGTAACATTCGCTACAACTAATTTCAATTTTTAAACTATTTATTCTATATCAGTTAGTTTCTAAAGCTTGATAATATTTGATCTCGATATTGATCTAATGATTATAGAACTAATGATCAATTCTACTTCGTTATTTCCATGATATTTATCAGAAAAAATAATTGTTTTTTTATTTATTTATTTTTTTTTATTGGTTTCTTATATACAATTATAGCTCAACAATAATTGTTAAGCTATAATTATTATAGATAATAACAATTAAAGATAATAAAAATTACAGGTAATAACAGTTGTACAATACAATTTATATAATACAGTAATATTTACAAAGAAAGATAAAAAAACAGAAGAACAAAAATTAGATGCTAAAAGCCAGCCTCCAATATAAATGCTATGATTTGAGTTATGGCTATTTCTGTATTAGAGTTAAGGATAGAGGAAAGGTTAGGGGTAGTATTAAAAGCTTTTAGGAAGTTAAACAAAATGGTGCGTTTTAAGTGCAAGGAAGGACATTTGAACAGAATATGAGAAATATCACATACACTTTCTGTTAAATGTAGGGTGCAGAAAGGAGCGTCATTTAAATCCAATTTGTATGCATGGGCAGGTAAAAGTATGTGAACGTAGGTGATTAAATTGTATGATGGATTTTCTCGATAAAATGGAGGTTGTTGAACCAGGTTTTATGAGGGATTGAAGGAACAATATATTTATATCTGGCAGCAAATTCTGCTGGAAGATTTGACCAATGGGAGGCTTAGACGTTTTTTATGTGGTGAAATTGATATGAGAAAGTTAGATTAGAGAGGGACAAATTAAGTTAGACGTAGATTTGATAAGACTATTGGCGATCTCATTACCATAAATTCCTATGTGGCTTGGGATCCACAGAAATTGGAAGGAGTAATTTAACCGGTGTAGTAAAAGGGTAATTTGTTTAACGCGAAGCATAAGAGGAGGAAGATGGGAGTTAAAGGGATTGGATTTGAGCGTAATTAGGCAAGACATTGAGTCAGAGGCTATAAAGTAATTGTTAGGAGCAAGGTAAGAGATATGTGTTAGCGCTTCTATGATGGCGTAACTCTCAGCAGTGAAGGAAGAAGACGAAGGGGGTAAATTGTTTGTGAAAGACATGTGTAGCTCAGGGATATAAAATTCATAACCTGCAGAAAGAAGAGAGACTGATCCGTCAGTAAAAACCGTAATGTAGTTACAGAAATTTCCATTGAGGAATGCTGAGAATATTTTGTTTGTCATAGAGTGAGACATGATTTGTAGTTCTATAGAAGATAGGAAAGAGAAATTGTTTTCTATTTGGACAAATGGTGAGTACAATAAAGATTCGTAAGATTGTTCATAAAGCAGGAGCTTAGTTAATTTCATAATAATTGGTGAAAGTTTGAGAGAGAGTTCCCTGAAATTTCTAGGATGGGAATTGATTTGGGAACGTATCGCCAAGTGAGAAATAACGAATAATACATGTCAAAAATAAGATGGTTTGAGTGACCAAGTTGCTTTAGAATAAATTTGTTGGCTAACCATCGGCATCTTATGTTGAAGGGAGCACAGTTTGGTTCTACTTCGATAACCGGGCAAGTAGTAGATCTTAGGCGACCCATAATGTTTCTGAGGTATTATAAGACCCAAAAGGAGAGGAGAAAACGAGGTTTCTTTTATTGAACATAAAGATCAATGTGTTGCAAAATTGTTGTGGTGCATGTAATGAGATAAGGTGTGATAAGAATGCAAATATTGACTGAATCGAAAGCACGGCGTATGTCTACGAAGGTGGCCACAAAAAACTCTCTGTTGTTAAAGGAGTGGTATATATTTCCTATAAATGACGAAAGGCATTCAATCATACCCTTTCCTTTCCTAAAGGCGAAAAGGTTATCTGGTAGGAAAGAATTAGATTCTAACCACCAGTCTAGCCTAGATTTAAACATGTATTCAAAGATCTTACATAAAGAAGAAGAAAGTTCAACAGGATGAAATGAAGTTATGGAATTTTTTTAGCAATGGGTATGACTTTATATGCACACCATGAGGGCGGAATTTATTGGGTTGTAAAAATGTTATTCATTAAAGCAAAGATAGATTCTAAGGCAATAGGAAGGACGTGTTTTTTAACATGATATTATTGAGACCGAAGGTGGTGGATTTCCTTGAAACAATAGCGTAAGTTAGTTCAGATATGCTGAAATCAATTGTTAGAACATGGGTGGAAGAGACATTGTGGTTGTAACACGGAGCGATTTCAGAATCAGAAGGAAATAACATGGAATAATTTTAGAATAAAAATCATCAAACCAATCATCGTTGTTGGGGCGAGATGAAGGAGTTATGCAATTTTTAAATTTTCTAGCAACATATCAAAGGTGTTGTATGGAGTTAGACGGTTTGAGATTTGAGCAAAAAAGTTTCCATTTATTTCTCTTTTCATTTTTAATAATTCAAGTTGTAAGGGTCCGAAGACGACGACATTATGAACAATAATTAGATGTATAGATTATTAAAACCGGATTGCTATTAGTGAAACGCACAAATACACGACTATGCGTAACGACTACGTGAATGCGAATGAACAAATAATTGTTATTTTCAATGAATAGTAATGATAAAAGAAAAAAAGTAATTACGTTATTCAGAACGAAAAACCGTAAAAAAAATCAAAATCCCCGATTCCGGTTGTGAAAAGTTTAGGTATGGTTTAGTATGGTGAAATGCAACTTACGCTGCAGCACTGTAGGGTTTATCAGGAAAACCCGTTTACTCGATCATTTTCGATGCATATTTATTCAGTCGGATTACTTTTATGTTATTTACCTATGTTTACCTATGTTTGAAAATCAAGTCAAAACTGATGAACTTCGAGTCAGAACGATTCTGCTGTATAATTTACTGCATAATATATATCTATATATTAAATATTAATTAATATTTGAATAATATTTATTTATTAATTATATTTATGTGATTCAGCTGCATGTGGTAGTAGTAAACAGCACGTGAATGTGAGATTGTATTACAGTACTAAATAATGCACATTCGCTGGCGTTCGTTAACATCCTTCCGCGTATGTACGGGTTCGCCCGCCCGAGCTTAATACTCGCACCGAAAGGGATTCCAATTAAAAGTTGCGGCAGGTGAGCGCCTAGCGAGACGTAGCACGTCACGGGCAACTCTGCGGCACCGGGAAAAACTACATGTATATATTATGCATCGTCAGTGGCGGCCGCGTGCCACTGTTTGCTGCGCGCCTGTGTGCATAAACATGTATCCGCCGTGCACGCGTCAGATAATTAATCGGAGGGGACGCAGCTGTTCTAATTATAACCGCGAGTGCACTGTATATATACGTACATAAGTACACCGCTTACCACTCCTATCACGCGCCCGCGGTCTACGGGAAGTCTACGGGACGAGTAGGACAAGGGTGGTCCGATTAATTTTTCAACGTCATCCGCACGCTGCGCTGAATTTTTCAAATTCTCTTTGCGAATCTATCCGAATATAATACGTACGCATCAATCATGTTACATTTACTGCGCACATTTGCAACGATATTGCGCTAAATCAGTGTTCCATACTATGCGACCACAATCACTTGCATCCTAATATGTTATGCAATCCCTATCGAATTCCGGAATTTCAATGTACTTCAATAACTCCGCAACGGTGTCTATTTTTAACATGGACGATTCGGTTTTATTATGTTTTCATGTTGTATAGATGTATTTTCCATGATGTCCATCAACAACCAAAATATCATAAGCGTATGTAGCGCTTAATAGTACAAAAATTTTTATATGAATCATATGTTTTTAATAAAAACATTTTTTTTCTTATTACTATTGACTGTTGATTAATATTTGCATTAATCAAGTACCTATGTGATAGACCGTTCAATAATTGTTACACACTTGTTTTTTAATATTGAGTATTAACTTAGATTGTATTATATTTGCGATGATTGTTAAAAAATACTCTTTCCAATAGGTATTTAATTCGTTTAAATCACACAACGTGTGCCCTAATCCATACGGATTATCGCATATTTGGATAATCGGATTTTCCCGAATTCAAATTGTAATAGTCTAACTTACGACTCACGAGATGGATTGTCGAGCACATTGAATAAAGGGTAAAAATATCTAACGGATATTTATCATACCATACGTCTGCGATAGTCTCCCTCTCTAATTATATTAATGTACGCACTAAACGGAAATAATTCGATGTGCCGTTACGATACACCAACAGAAAGGGTTGTGAAAGATAAGCGGGTGGATGGGAGTAGTGGTACAGGTATACGTTCAGAAAAGAGCATGCAAACACCACTTATAACCACACTACAGACTAGAAGACGTCAAAAATTGTTGATCAGCAATAATTATGCGCCACGAAATCCCCTAGCGTGTTTTGAAGTAAACATTATATATT